GTCCCGAGCCCTCGCGGCTGGATGATTGGTGCCTTTTTTCCCTGAGGTGCATGAGGAGCTGACGAAGTCGTGGACGGCCCCTTTTTCGGCCAGAAGCCTCTCATCTCCCTTCTCCGTCCTCACTACCCTCGATGGCGGGGTGGCTAGGGAGTACGTAGATATTCCCCAGGTGGAAAGAGCAGCTGTGGTGCACCTGTGCCCGCAAAATGCCACCACTTGGAGGAATCGTCCGCGTCTCCCGTCCAAAGCCTGTAAGCTGATGGGCGCTCTCGCGGCCAAAGTTTACGGTGCTGCAGGCCAGGCTGCCTCTGCCCTGCATGCTATGGCTATCCTGCAGGTCCACCAAGTCAAGGCACTCAAACAAATGCACGAGGGTAGTTCCGATCCAGGGTTGATTCAGGAATTGCGCACCGTGTCCAGATCTCTGGGACCTCTATGTGTGGCTCTTGGATGGGACGCGGCAGACTGAAGTGATCTGCCACCGGCGGTGGTAAACTCGATCACTCAGGCTAGAGCTCCCTCGACGAGGCAAGCCTATGCTCTGAAGTGGAGTCTGTTCATGAACTGGTGTTCTTCTTGCCGAGAAGACCCCCGAAGATGCATGATTGGAGTAGTGCTTTCTTTCCTGCAAGAAAGGTTGGAGCGTAGGCTGTCACCCTCCACTATGAAAGAGTATATGGCTCCTATCGCAGCACATCACGGTGCAGTGGACGGCCGGTTCCTGGGAAAGCACGATCTCTTCGTCAGGTTCCTGAGGGGTGCCAGAAGGTTGAATCCTCCTAGGCCACCCCTGGTGCCCTCCTGGGATCTGCGGCAGACTTAAGTGATCTGCCACGGGCGGTGGTAAAAACGATCACTCAGGCTAGAGCTCCCTCGACGAGGCAAGCCTATGCTCTGAAGTGGAGTCTGTTCATGAACTGGTGTTCTTCTTGCCGAGAAGACCCCCGAAGATGCATGATTGGAGTAGTGCTTTCTTTCCTGCAAGAAAGGTTGGAGCGTAGGCTGTCACCCTCCACTATGAAAGAGTATATGGCTCCTATCGCAGCACATCACGGTGCAGTGGACGGCCGGTTCCTGGGAAAGCACGATCTCTTAAGAGTGCCTTGTGTTCGGGCCGGCCTACTCTCACATTGTCCTGAGACCCCGGCCTGGATACGTGACCAAGGTTCCCACCACGACCTTTCGTGATCAGGTGGCGAACCTGCAAGCACTGCCCTTGGAGGAGGCAGATCCAGCCTTGGCGTTGCTGTGTCCCGTAAGAGCGTTGCACATATACGTGGACCGCAACCAGAGCTTTAGAAGCTCTGAGCAGCTCTGTGTCTGCTACGGAGGTCAGCAGAAAGGGAACCTTGGCCTACCATTCCCAAGGTGAGCCGTGCCCCCTGAGGGTGAGGGCTCACTCCACACGGAGTGTTGCCTCCTCCTATGTGCTGACGCACGGTGCCTCTCTGGCAGACATCTGTAGAGCTGCGGGCTGGGTGACACCGAACACCTTCACGAGATTTTACAGTCTCCACATTGAGCCGGTTTCTTCCCGTGTGGGTAACAGATAAGCGGCGGGAAGAGCCGGCTCGCGTCAGACTTGCTGCACCATTCCCCCTCACCCAGGGATGCGAGCGCCTTTTCCTCCTCCAGTAAGTTCCCTGGTCGGCGAACCTTGGTTGAGTATCCTCCAGCACCCCGGCAGTCAGACTGGGCGGAGCAGTCTGACGCCAGGCCCAGTATGAAGTCCCAGTGGGAAGTCGTGGCCTAATGGTTAGAGGTTGAGGGTTCGAGTCTCGTACCGGCAGGGATTGTAGGTGGGGGGAGTGAATGTACAGCACTCTCTCCACCTTCAATACCATGACTGAAGTGCCCTTGAGCAAGGCACCGAACCCCCAACTGCTCCCCGGGCGCCGCAGCATAAATGGCTGCCCACTGCTCCGGGTGTGTGTTCACAGTGTGTGTGTGTTCACTGCTGTGTGTGTGCACTTAGGATGGGATAAAAGCAGAGCACTAATTCCTAGTATGGGTCACCATACTTGGCCACATGTCACGTCACTAAAGTATCGGTGTTAGCTTGCCCAGGTTTCTGGTCAGCCCCTTTAATGGGCTAGGTGTCCATATGGCTTGATTCCCTGCAGGCGATCCCATATGTGTATTCTTCCACAGTAAGTTTTCCCTCTCGGTGAACCTGTGTCGTTCCTTTCACAGACCACTCTGTCAGTCTCTGCTGGCAGCCGTTCCTCCCTACTCCCACGTAGGACCTGCCTCAGAGACCATTCCATATGTAGTACTGCCTCAGGCCTGGGTCAGTCCATATCAGTGTCTCCACATGATACCTCCCCACGGGCAGGATGTCGTCTCCGTAGCGCCCTTCTCCGGAGGGCTCGCTTCCCCTTCGTTACTGCCACGCTGTAAACAACAAACAGGAAAGGCGTGAAGCACCTTTCACAAAGGTCTAAATCCCTTCTCTTAAGAATTTTTTTTTCTGTCATAGGAACAGTGGCTTGGCTATCTCCAGCAGCGATGTACTCACCTTTTGGTCCCTGCGGGCGCCAAGGTCAGCGAATTTGCGCTGGGGCGTTGGGAAGGTTACGACCCTGCGTAGCATTTGTCTGACACGCGGCTGCTTGTCAACATTTGCAGCGCTACAGGGTTGTGACGGGGTTCAGGTTGTGGCGCTTTTCATGGATCCCCTATGTCGTCACGACATAACTCATAGTGACCGACAGATAGGGAACATCTCAGTTACGTGCGTTACCCTCGTTCCCTGATGGAGGGAACAGAGACATTATGTCCCCATGCCACAACCTCGAACCATCGCTGGTTGCCAGGGACACATTCTCGGCTCCTCAGCGTAAAACCTGAAGGAGTGGATGCTCCTGTCGCCTATTTATACCCGTATGCACGGGGAGTGACTCAGTTATGCAAAATCCACTAGCCAAAATTAATTGGCGTTTTCTCTGAAAGTCAGAGCGGATTGGGGCTCTCAAGTAAACCCCCTATGTCGTCACGACATAACGTCTCCGTTCCCTCCATCAGGGAATGAGGTTTACGTACGTAACCGAGACGATATTTTAAGTCTCTTAACCACAGTCAGTACAACAACATAAAAAATGCAGAAGGAAATGAGTGTACAGCCACAATAATTTAATCAAAACGTGATGTTTTGGTGGTGCAGGATAAAAGTCACTGGAGAACAAGTGACTGGCACAAATATTGAATAATTATTATTATTAATATTTTTTTCTTCCATTCTGCTGTACTGTAATTTTGAAGTTTGGAGCAGATGTTGGAACAAAAATTTCAATTAAAAAAACTGAGAATTAGATATATGCTTGTTGAATTGATATAGTTTATTTGAAATCCTGTGGATTGGGTTCCAGCTGTTTCACTTGTGAATCATCTTGAATAATAAACAACTCTGGTTGTTTTTGTTTATAGCACATGCATGTTTCAAGCTTTTAGACTTGCTCTGAACATTATGATTGGATCGAGTCCAGCATGTGCTCAATAACCAACCAATATGATGTAATTTCCCGTATCCCTTTGGTGACATCAAGAAACTTCCTCTAAAGAGGAACCTCATACCAATGACAAGGCCATGCTGCATTCATTATCTTCCACCAGCCTCTTTTGCATCCTCTTGAGGTTTTGATTGCCCCATCTGTTTAAGAGTTGGTAAATAAAGTGCTTCTGTTCTCTTGAAAACAACAGCCTGGGCAAAATAAGATCTCTGTACATGCAACATGAAAGACAAATGAATGGACTATTATTTGGAACTATTAAAACATATTTTCGGTGGACATTTCATCTGAAATCTGCAGTAAATTGTAGTAAAAGGTTTTGGCATTTTACAAAAATGCATGTAGTCACGTTTTATAATAAATTTTTGGGCCTCTAAATTATCAACATGATCAAAACTTTGAAAAACCTGTTGTATAATCTTCTACATGCCTTCTGTCATCTGATTGATGGTTTATACTTTTTAAGCATGTAAAAGGCCTTTTAGAATAATTGTAAAACCATCTCCCTTCATGTTGATATGTGTCTTTTTGCTGTCAAATCTTTACTGAATGTAAGTAAATGTAAGAATAACTTTTATATTGCTAGTTACATTTCAAGATGAGCGTTTACTGGACTGAAGCAGCTTAGGTTTACTTGATTATACATCTTTTTTTTTTTTTAATAGAAAAATCTGATAAAAAAATAATGAGTATCAAACATGATAAATCAGGCTTTTGAGGAACGTTTATTTGTACAATTCAATCATCAATGTGCTTTTTTTTTGGCCCCCTCAATAAAAATAAGTTGTGTTTTCCATTTTGCTTTGTGTCTCATTCTATATCTACTGTACTATGACAAAACAAATGTATTTTAGATCCCTTAGTTGTTGTACCTGGTTAACCAGTACTATACAAATGCATTTTATATAAAACTAGTATTTTACAATTTTACTTTTTCAGTTAAGTCTGTGTATCTATTAGTCATAGAAATAAGTTGTTTGCAAGGCATTCAGTGCAGTTCAGTGGTTTTGAGAACATAAACCACACAGAAAACATTCAAGCACAAGTACACCACTGGATACTTTTTCATATCCAAACACACATAATGAGTCAGCAGTTTCAAAGCTCTTATCTCTGTGGCTGACATATTATAGCTGCCCAATTCATAACTGCCTCTAGCGTCAGTTAAAACAACTGCTGTGTTCATGTGTAAGGATGTGTGCAGTGTCAAATAAGCAAGAAGAGCAGTTTTTCTCACTGTCAGCACTTTAAAGAGCAGGTTTATCTAGGCGCATAATTCAGTGTAATATAATCTAATACAAAAATACTATATTAGTACAGAAAATGTGTAAAGTTAATAACGTAATTACTGCAAATCATGTTTTCATAAAATTAATACCAGCTTAACTGACTTCATACTTCAAAGGAACTTATACAAAGGTAACTTTACAAGTGAGCTGCAAGATTTATAAAAATAATACTGTAAAGAGGCTACATTAAAGGTACAAGAAAACCTGCAAAAAAAGAGAACAATCTTTTTTTGTGTGGAATGCTTGATTTATTGTTGTTGCCATATTGACATTAAGCACCATATTTGAGGTATAACAATTCACAGCAACTAAAGTTTCTGGAGTACAATACGTACATATAAACACTCCTTTTCACTGGTACACTGTACTAAACCTCTCCTGAAGAACCTACAGGAGCCTATAGGCTGGTCTTTGGTAAGATATGGCTTTACACTAGCACCTATACAATTCTGTAAACAGACACGCGGTAGTCAAGGCTTGAACTCGAGGTACCATGTTTGGACTAGCACATTTCATAGTATAGTCCCACTTTTAAATAGATTAAAAGTACTTCAAATTGTGGTATCAAAACACTGGGTGGTTCTTACCAAAATGCCTTTTGAAAGGTGAAAACAATGAAATGAAACGGTTGTGCAAAAATCCTTAAACTCCTTCACCAATGCACATATTGTTTAACGGAATGTTGGCAACAGAACTCAGATCTGAGCGGATCAGAGAGTGTGCTTGTCAAACAGGTACTCTCCCATTTTGCCATGCGGGTCAGCAGAGACGAGGCGACTCAGGCTGCCAGCGTAGTCACCCAGCGTCTTAATGGTGTCATGACTGTCAGTAAAGAAGTTGCTCTCTAGGAAATCACACAGCTGGAACAGTATGATGGGGAAAACAATTTTCACTGTTATTTAAAAATAATATGCAATTATATTGGAAAACACACAAAACAAATGAGAAAGGAGATACACTTTTATGCTACTCACATGAGGGTCAGAGTTTTCTCCAGCTGCTTTATGGATCTCCAGCAGGGATCGGTTAAGAGATTTCTGATGGTCCAGAGAAAAAGTGATAGCATCCATACCTCCTTTCCAATCATCACGACTGGGCTTCTGATAAGTGATAGGGAGACAGATAAAAATGGATTTTTATAAGCTTCTAGATTTGATGGCAATGACACCAGCCTTGTGAAAAACAAGTGTGCTTAATTGTATTGAACGTTCACTTGTAATGCACTTAAAACTTGAAAGTACTTTTTTATTACTGTACATTTGCACAAAAAAAGAGAAAGAAATAAGACCATGAATGCAAACTTACAGTTACAGTAAACTTATGTTTCTTCAAACTTAATATTGTCAAATGAATAGTATTTCTTTAAAGTACATTTTAAACCTTTGTTTTAATCAACGTGTCATGCTTTAAACAAGAGTAACGATTTTGATGTGCTAATATACTAAAAGTACATATAAACTACTTCTTTATCATTTTAACTGTAGTGTACTTTTCAACAATACAAAGTTAACATTGTAAATGTTAAATTAAAGCAATAAGCCCCAAGAAGCCGTGCTTTACAGTGAATTTATACCAGCTAAGGGGCGTTGTTAGGCACGAAACGAAGCAGAGTGCCTAAAACCTCCTTAGCTGTTATAAATTCACTGTAAACCACAGCTTCACGGGGCTTATTGCGGTTATAAAACGGTTATTCCATATACGTAGTTAGGTTTCACAAAATAAAACAGAGCAAATAAAGTGTAATGATAATGTATTCTTCCACCAAACAATGTAGTTCCTCAGAAAAAGTTGTGGTTGCAACAAAGTGCTTGCCGAGCAACACACAAAGTAAACAAAGGTGTATGTTTGTAGAGTAATTTACAACAGCTTCGAACGTGGCTCAACCAATCAGAATCAAGGACCGGAACTATCCGTTTTATAATATAAAATATTAATTATATACATTTAAAAAAAAAATATATATATATATATATATTTTTTTTTTGTTTTTAAATTCATTTTGAAAGTATATTGACTTGTAATAAGATGGCTACAGCTATCAACTGTAATTAGGACAGTGATAGATTTACAACAGTAAATTCCACTCACTTTCAACTAACTTAACAAACATTACATTCAGTTCTTAAATATATACGTAGTTTTGAAAGTATATTATTTCTGTAAAAAGGATTCTTTTTAAAAGTATGCTAATGCTAGTATGCATTAAAGTATGCTAGTGTGGAAACACAGGGTTTCAGTGTACGATTTACTTTTGTATAAGAAATCTCTCAAAGCTACAGCTGCAGCTTCAGTAGACTGTTATATGTATTATTTTTCTGATATTTTATGGTGCTTTGTCTTCAGCATAAACTTGCATTTTATCCTTTTGTGCTACACAAAAGTCATACGGGTATAGAACGGCAAGAGGGTGAAGGAAAAATGACAATTCATATTTTTAGGTGAACCTTTCTTCTAAAACCCACTCACCGCAATGGTCTGGAGAACGATTCGTCCTCCTCTTGTGTTCTGATACTCCAGCAGGTGCTCCACCTGATCCCTCTCCTTCAGTGAACGCTCTAGAAAAAACTTTGAGAAGTTGGGCAGAGCCACATCATCTCGGTCAAAATACATTCCCTGTAATGAGACACAGAGAGACTGTATTAGTGTTACTGTCTAAACAGATATGCAGGGGTCAATTATTTGTACATGAACAATTTTAATTTAGCATCAGTGCATACAGAATATTCAATTCTAAACACTCAAATATTCCATTAATATTCATTTATATTTTCTAAAAAAATAATTTAGAACATGTGCACGATGCACTTTTAACATTAAATTGCTGACATTGACAAATGTATGTTCAAGTGTATTTCTGTGCATTTCATAAGAAAAAAAAATACACAAATGTAAATAAACCTAAAAACAACGTTTCATAAATGTGGTGCCAATGTTTGTAAACAGACCAGGGAGAGATACACATATGAAGCCGTCAGTTTGAGGTTGATCAGTTTATTGATGTTTGCCTCATTATTCGGGAGGAGATTCTGCTTGACTAGAGACATTTCTGAAAAGGAAAACACACAAAACAGATGAACTATAATACAAAATAAAATAGAAAACTTAAAAAGGTTAGTTGAGCAGAGGCGGATTCAAGACAAACATTACATGTACTAGCAAAATGAAAAGAAAATGTCAATATATGCATGTTGCACAACTCTGTCTTACCGTGTAAAGTGTGTGTTCACTGTTCAGTGCTGATACTGAGTGAGTGTATGACACTGAATTCTGTCTAACCAGATAAGATTTATCAGATGTGACGTAAGGCAGGGGAAAGTACTAAAGATATGTAACACTCCTTGCAGTATGGCTCTTGGTTCAAAACAGGGATATACTGATTCGATAAATAAAAAAATATATATTTTATAAATATAAACCTTATAGCATAAATGTATTTTGTTTCTATACATATGCTGCTGTGAACTGGATTCAGCCTGTAATGACATGGAAAGTAGCATATGTTGTATTAAAATTAAACGTTTGTTTATTGTGCCACTGCCAATTTAAACCACAATTTCATTGTATTAATTTATTATATAAAACATTGCTGCTTTAATTATATTATTACAAGTTTACTGCCTAAAAAAATTGCGTTGGTTTAAAATATTTAGTAGAGGAATCTGAGTAGAAAGTTTAGGAATCGGATTTTTCCTGAACTTCCTATTTCTATTCTATTTTAGACCAACGCAATGTCTAAAGGTCTGTGTAAATCTGTGAACATTTACATTCGTACACAACAAGATCTTCAACAAGTAATGTCCAATACGAGGAGGGACAACACAAAAACCCCAATAATGCTGTAAGTTTATATTTGTTTGACGCCATTCCTGCAGATGCTGAAGCACAAGACAACCACTTTTTAAATAAAACTTGTCTAATAATTATCTAAAATTTTTATCAAACGCAACGTCACGTACGAACAACGATACACGGACGACATTGTTTATATGACTGTTGCATTATATATTCGCAGATTCTCTTTAACAGGACACGTAAATCATAGGCTCACCTCTCTAGCAACGACACGCGTCAGATTACTTCTTCTTCTTTTGGTTTTATGGCGGGTTGCGAACCAACTTCATAGGTGCATACCGCCACCTACTGTGATGGAGTGTGAAGAGAATGTACCATTTCTCACCTAAATCTTAAATTATGTTCATTATTCCACAATTCGTAAGAAATCTCATGATTGCACTTATTTGTTTTCCTGCATTTGGACCATCATTCAGGATACTACTTAATGAAAATTCTTTAACTCCTAAGGATTGTAATTCATCTTTAAGTCGATCCCTTTCTCTTTCATATGCTGTACATACCATCATAACGTGTTCCACTGATTCCTCTGTTAAACAAACATTACATAGACCAGTATTATGTTTCCCTATCATGTATAGTGTTTGGTTAAGATTTGAGTGTCCTGTTCGTATATGTGTTAAAATGACTTGTTCCCTTCTACTTATGTTATGAATGATTTTTCTTCTCTTTATACTCCTTTGTACTTTGTGATAATGCCTACCTGTTTGACATTAGTCCCAGTATATCTGCCATACAATATTGCATGCATTTAGTTTCCTTTCTATTCTACTGAGTGCAATATTTATACTTGGATCATCCATATTTAAGGATTCTTTAGCGTCAGATTACTGCTGGAGAGATAACACTTTAATGGATTGGATTGTTCTTTCCAGCCCTTTATCATACAGTATTAAAAGTAAGTTGAATATCTGGTATTTGATATCTTGTCTACATGATGTTTTTCCATATTGAATACTAGAGCAGATAAGCTGTCAGAAGCTATGATTACATTTTGGTTCTGTTTATTTCCTTCCAGCCACTGTAATGCCAATAAAATTGCTAAAAGCTCTACTGTGTACACCGATAAATGATCTGCTGTTCTTTTTTTAACTGCTATTTCATAATGCGAAATGGAAAAAGCAGCCCCAGTACGCCTGTCTCTGGCTGCTTTGATCCATCTGTAAATATGAATAGTTTCTTTAATGGATTGATTTATAAATCTTTTTTTTTTTAATAAGTTTCCTCTTCATAATGCGAAATGGAAAAAGCAGCCCCAGTACGGCCTGTCTCTGGCTGCTTTGATCCATCTGTAAATATGAATAATTTCTTTAATGGATTGATTTATAAATCCTTTTTTTTTTTATAAGTTTCCTCGGCAGTAAATCTTCCCGTTGCTTTTACTCACAGCGACATCTACAGTTGCGGAGTCAAACACATGCAGTCATGGATTGGCGTAAAATCTGTTTAAAAAAATGGCATGAATTTGAAGTAACCTGCTGTTTATTGAATGTGTTTATATATACAATAGCTTTGCTTGTAATACAGAATCAAAAAAACTTTAAGTAAGTAAATAATAATGAGCAACAACAGTTTTCCAGAAAACTGAGACAGTTTTGTAGCCTAAAAGTGTACAATTTTTTTTTTCAAAACTAGTAAAACAATTGTTCAGCAATGCTGTTTTTTTACATTATTTTTTACATTAAATATACGCACATTCCATATTATTTTAAGTGTTTTTTATGTTTATTGTTTGACAAGTTTAGTTACAGCTTAATTTACAGTTAGATTTTTTGTTTTTGTTTTTACTTTTAATTAACTTAAAAACAAAGTTTAATCATTTCGTAAATTAATTTAATTAAATACATGCAATGAACCCTACAGGTTAATGATTCTTTTCTCTTAAAAAGTTACTTTGGTTAAAGCATTGAATTAATAAAATCCAAGCATCCAACATAAAATGTTGGAAAAAATATAACAGCTAAATATAGTTTGTGGTAATTTAAATTATATATATATATATATATATAAAATTCTGCTATGAAATGAATAGTTACAATTTATTGAGGACTATGCCACAATTATGATTTTGTTTTGTTTTATATTTTAAACCTATAAATGGCATTTTTATTTTAGATAATACTTTTTTTTTAATCTAATATTTCTCCAAAGAACAAGAGATTTGTGTGCACCTTTATTTCTTTAAAATTAAACAGCACACCAATTTGTACATTCGTGGAAAGTGTTAGTTGACAAAACAAGTGTTGTGTTGATCATAATGACAGCAATACAGCGGAAGAGGGGCACGACAGTTTTGTTTTGAAAGGAAAAACCTGATGAACTGCTTTTGACAAATATACGTCATGCTTGCAATTATACAAAAGGCAAAATGCTTGTCTCTGCAATTAAACCACTTTGATAAATAGTAGACATTGGGAAAACAATTACACTAGTGCTGACTGTGCTCCTCCTGTGTTGGCTGAAAATTAAAAGTAAACTAAACCCTCCACAGTTAATTTCCTCCACATATCATTGGACCTACAAAATGTTTATAATAAAGAGACGTTGTTTGTTAATGCATGTCATCAGTCTGGTTAACAAAAATGGTTACAAAACATTACTCAGCTAGGTGAGATAGAAATGCTCTCTATATGCACTCTCTATCACGATGTGCACAGTATCAGATATTACATTCAAGACACACCCAACTATGGAACTTAAGCCATAACTTTTGTCTATTGTTACTGCAATAAAGACAAGAATAATGGGGTATTTGTCACCATTTGATCTTTTGAAAGGATTCTAGATTATTTTGTTAACTTGCCAACACACAGGCAGAACACCATTCAAGGGAAAACTAAAAACAAAACTAATGACCACAATTCAGTTCTATATTTTATTTCTTTCGAGTTACTTGAAAGCATATCCGAAAACAAAAATAATTTACATTTTTAAAATGTTAAAGTTAATTAGGTGAAAGAGGAAGACCAACCTAAATAAAGCATAGGGGAATGTGAGGGGCAATTAAAAAGGGAGAAGAAGTGAGGTATAACCAGTTTGGAAAGGATAAAAGGGAGGAGTTTCAAAATAAGGAAGAACTTTAAAGGTTTAAAGGCAGGACAAATGTTGATGTGCATTGTTTCCCATCATGAGAAAAAGGAGAAGTGGCAATAAAACAGGTCATTATCAGTCACCACAGAGGGAACAGAGACAGAGAGAAGCATCAGAAACCGAGAGTTTGAAGAGACTAAATAATACTAAAGGTGGCATGTGCGCGTGCAGTAATGCCAACAGGCTTGATTAGTTATTTCAATTAAATATGGTTTTTGAATGCAGTGGTTAAATAAAAAATGCCAGTGTGATAAAAGTGCTGTTTACACTGACCACATACCGGGTTGATCATGGAACGAGTTTTGACTTTAGTATTGCTGTGTGTGCTTTCTGCATGGGTAAGTCACTCTTACTCTATATACAACTGTTATTTGTGGTTAACTGAGATTGGGGTTCAGATTGTAAACCCATAGCTGTACATGACAAAGAGGTTTAATTTTTAGGACAAAAACACCTGCGACTGATACCAGTGACATAAAGCACAGTGAAGTCAAAGAATAACTTGTGCTGAATTCAAATGGAAAGTATGAGTAATTGATGTAAATCCTTAAATATATATCCAACAATTATAGCAGCAAGTAATACATTGAATTGAACATTAGAGTATTAGTAGACTGTCTAACACTTTGCTTTAATGGTCTTCCAACAGACATTCTGACTAACTAACTTTGCATGAACGTCAACTTATTCTACTAACCCTAACCAAACAGTCTACTAATACTGTTTTAATTAGTTTACATGTAGTTCCAAATTAATCAGACATGTAGTTGCAAACTTACTTGTAGTTAGTAGAATGTGTTATAAAGTGGGACTCACTTGAATTGAATTGTCCTTAACTACTATGTGGTTTAAATTAATAATTTGATACAATGCACTTATTGTGTACGTACATGTTTTTACATTGTACTTTGGAAATATTGCCCTGTAAATAATTTCTGTAGTTACATCTATAATTACACTGTTGACCCCAACTCTACCCCTTAAACCTAACAAAACCACCAAATCTGCCTCTAACCTTACCTGTATTCCACCTAAATAGCAGCAAAAGAGTTTTGCAATTCAGCATGAACACAATAGGTACACTGTACAACAATTCATTATTCATTCAAGTACATCATTTTTTTAGACACCTAATATGAATGGGACCATAAAGTGTAACCAAATTATCTTTCCAACTCCAAGAGAACTGCTGAAGACACAACCCTAACCCTAACTAACAGTCTAATGATAGTTAGTTGACATGTAGTTGTAAAGCTACTTATAGTTAATAGTATGTCTAAAGTGGACTATCGAAATAAAGTTGATACCAATTTAAAAATAGTCACTAATCTGATCTTCTTTTAAATGGTGTGGAGATGCCCGTTCTGTGGATTTATATTTTATATTTATGGATCTAATGATTCACTTCTGAAATTCAATACCAGTCCAAATTCCTGCAGATAAGTGATCATGAGTTATCGTGAGTAATAATAAGAT